AGCCCTCCCATACTGCAATGCTGGGGTTATTTTGAATGCAGAAGTTTTTTTTTTGTCCTCAGTATATACTCTATGGAGGACTGCACTCTCTGGCATTGCTCAGTACCTCATTAAGCCTAGTTGCAAATACAGCCATGATGCCTGACCTGCACGTCTGGAAAATTGATCCCAGAAAGAGCTGCTCATGCTCCTTCATGATTCCTTTCTAAAACCATCATCCCACTTAGCAGCTCTCCGACTCATCTATTAACACATCACTGTGTGCTTGATCAGAGCGAGACACCAAAAGTGGCTTTTCCTCATCAACCATACAGCTACACAAGGCCTTTGAGAAATGAGAGTCAGGTCAGGCATCAGTAATCAAAGGAGATGGATCTCAAGTCAATAACAAGGATAATGGTGAAAGTGAAGACTGCAGACTTTGACTGACACTTTATCAGTGCTGGTGGGCAGCTAATAAGTTGATCTTTGCCTCGTAGTTGCCTTGGAACATGTCAGTTTATTCATAGTGGGGAAAAGACAAAGACATAAACCACCTGTGGAGTGCATCATCTCCGCACAGAAAATCTGCCTGCCCAACATCTGACAGCCAAATGTATGTCCAGGAGACATGACATAGAGCTGTTAATAAGTAAAATGGGCCACTTTTTGCAATACTGCAGCAAATTTGCTCAAACACAAATGCTAATTATGCCTCTGCAGTGTCTGACAGAGAAGAAGGGATTGAGAGAAGAGCCAAAAATGAAGGAATGATGGCTGCTGACCTATGCTAATACACAAAGCAGCATATGCTGAATCTTGAGAATTATCCATTTCAGCAACTATCCAGAGACAATATCAGGTCAGGAAAAGCCACACCATACTACATTGAGGGTTAAATGGATCAAAATTTATCTCTAAATGTCAATGTCCTAGAGACAGATGGGAACAATCATTTTTGCCAAATTTCCAACAATCTATTCAGTTTTTTGTACTTCTTTTGTACTTTTATTCAGCAAAGATGCATTACAGAGACTTGCTATTGCTAATGCATCCACAGAAAAGCTGCTGTGAGCATGTAAATGTTGCTGTGACATACTGTAGCTGCACAAATAGCATACATTAAATTACCCATAGCAGATCTATACTGGTGAAACTGGGGGAGGTGGAGGGTTTCTGCAAGACTTTATTACACCAAACAATTGAAATGTTAAGCAAGAAAGCTCATTGGCTGAAGACGAAACAGAGACCAATCAGCTTGAGCCATAAAGTGATGATGTGATAGCTTGTAAATGGCATTAAGGACCTATTTGCCTGCATAATCTAGAGCAGTGTTTCTCAAATCCAGTCCTCGCATACCACCACTTTTAAATAATAAATAATAGTTAATAATAGTTGTCATTCTGGTAATTTCACATCAATTAAAATAAAACGATCTTAAATTGAAAACTGAAGAGAATGGATTGCAGTGTTGGGAACTGAAATTCATGCAATATTTTATTCTGTTTTAAATGTAAAATAATTAAAATGCTAAATGCATTATTTAATTATTATTTAATATTAATATTCAAAACAGAGGCCATGGAGATTGATAATGTCCAGTTGCTCATATTCATTGCAGAGCCCTAAATAATTGTCCATGCTTACAATTTTGTATAACTAGATTCTGCAAGTAGGTCAACCACACTTCCAAGCTCTAAAGATATGAAAATTTGTCTTATACACAAATAATACATCAGTGTAAGAAGTTCAAAGTCTATGGCACAGTTCTGAACTGGTGTCCCATATTCACTGTTCCAAAACTTCCATTCTGCAATGCCTGATTAAAAAAAAATGACCCATTTGATCAATTCTGTAAACTTGACAATTTGCTAGGCTCATAAAACTCCCTATAATCACCGCAAGTGTTTCGTCAGTGTTCCACAAGGATCCCTTGGCACAGGGTGAGTCTAATGATTGGCTGACAGCCATCCAATGCACCAGTGATCAATTATTCAACAGAACTGCATGTTTTTGCCTCTCCTGACACTAAGGAATGGCTTTGCTATGCTGTTTATCACCATCTCTGTGCCTTGGCTGAAACAAAGGAACTCAATAAGCCACTAAAAGAGGATCTACAGTGAATAAAACACATAAATAGTATAAATACAACCTAAACCTTCACCATAAAAGAGATATGCACACTAGACAGTAAGAGAGAAGAGCACTCTTGGAACAACCAGAGTTGTAACAACCTAGTTAGCATATGAACACCCCCACAAGCAGACTGTAGCACAGTCAGAAACACAGGGGCAACGCAGGCCCCATAAAGAGCTTAACACAACATTTGAAATATAATTTTGGTTTTAAAATTGCCATTTATGCAAGTACTTATTTCTTATCGCTTTCTTAAAGACATTCACAAATCCTTGACAGATCCCTATTTTCAGCACTGGAACTAATGTTACTAGTGGGAGCTGAAGTCTGTGATTTGCACACAATGTCCTCAAATTTCAAGTGAAGCATTTTATTACAGGGTTGTGCTGCCTAATCCAAATGTGGAGAGAAGATAATTAGCCATCTTGCTCTGAAGATTGAGGGTGTAAGATTATGGATGCCACAGAGACGTGGTAATATTTTTTCATTCTATGATGATACAGTATATACATATCATGATGATAAATGATAATATATATACATATATATATATATACAGTGGGTACGGAAAGTATTCAGACCCCCTTAAATTTTTCACTCTTTGTTATATTGCAGCCATTTGCTAAAATCATTTAAGTTAATTTTTTTTCCTCATTAATGTACACACAGCACCCCATATTGACAGAAAAACACAGAATTGTTGACATCTTTGCAGATTTATTAAAAAAGAAAAACTGAAAAATGCTCAGTATTTAGTAGAAGCACCCTTTTGATCTAATACAGCCATGACCCTTTTGGGAAAGATGCAACAAGTTTTTCACACATGGATTTGGGGATCCTCTGCCATTCCTCCTTGCAGATCCTCTCCAGTTCTGTCAGGTTGGACGGTAAACGTTGGTGGACAGCCATTTTTAGGTCTCTCCAGAGATGCTCAACTGGGTTTAAGTCAGGGCTCTGGCTGGGCCATTCAAGAACAGTCACAGAGTTGTTGTGAAGCCACTCCTTCGTTATTTTAGCTGTGTGCTTAGGGTCATTGTCTTGTTGAAAGGTAAACCTTCGGCCCAGTCTGAGGTCCTGAGCACTCTGGAGAAGGTTTTCGTCCAGGATATCCCTGTACTTGGCCACATTCATCTTTCCCTCGATCGCAACCAGTCGTCCTGTCCCTGCAGCTGAAAAACACCCCCACAGCATGATGCTGCCACCACCATGCTTCACTGTTGGGACAGGTGATGAGCAGTGCCTGGTTTTCTCCACACACACCGCTTAGAATTAAGGCCAAAAAGTTCTATCTTGGTCTCATCAGACCAGAGAATCTTATTTCTCACCATCTTGGAGTCCTTCAGGTGTTTTTTTAGCAAACTCCATGCGGGCTTTCATGTGTCTTGAACTGAGGAGAGGCTTCCGTCGGGCCACTCTGCCATAAAGCCCCGACTGGTGGAGGGCTGCAGTGATGGTTGACTTTCTACAACTTTCTCCCATCTCCCGACTGCATCTCATGGCTGGTGATTGAATGTTTAGCCCTTCCGTGTTTTCTAGTTTCCATGTTCCTAAGTTTTGCCTTTCTCGTGTTTTGTTCCTTGGACTGTTACCTTGTTTTTGATTGACTGCTGCCTGCCCTGATCATTGCCTGTCTTGTTGGATTACTCTTTTGTCTGTGCCTTGGATGTTATTGTTTGCTGGTATCTGACCCTGCCTGACCTGACTACGCTCTTTTTTTTTTTTAATAAAGCCTGCTATTGGATCCCCACTTCGTTGTCACAACGCCTCAATCGTTACAGAGTGTATGTACAACCACACACACATACATACATATATACTGTATATACATACACATTTATAAATTCAATATATATATGATTTCATTTCCATTTAGTTTGTTGAAGTATTAAAATAACTAAAATTAAATAAAACTAAAAATTTAATAAAAGACCTATACAGACATAATAGATTCAGACATAATTTAACTAAAATTAAAATAAATAACAAAT